CTGATGGGAAGTAGAGAATAAGATCTTTTGTTTTGCTTTTGCTTCTGCGCGCGGCTTTTGCTTCATTAAACTGTCTTTATCTGACCCACGTGCCTGTTGTTATATTTTTCTCTCTCCTGTCCAGCTGAGGAGGTGAGAGTGATAGAGTGGCTTTGGTGGGCACCTGGCATCTGGCCAGGGCCAAACCACCACAAGCAGAAACTGGGGTTGGTAGCCTAAATTCATCAGAAATGTTGAGGGATGACTGGGTGATGAAGAAATGTCACTTCATGCCCACAGATTGTCCTGCTAGGATACAGCTAAGATATATCATCAGTGATTACATGGTGAGTTTGGACTGCGGGGTCCCATGGGTCTTTAGTAGGTGACAAAGGCAGGCAATTTAGGTATACCCCTCTATGCCAGCTCCAGCCAGGAGAGGAAGGGCATCCTCCCCAACTGAAGCCTGCCTTAGCCAGCCTGGATAAACCAAGGTCATCCTTCGCCAGTACTGACACTGATACCAGAGGAAAGGCATTGCCACAGCTCCCGTGGATACTTCACGACTTCCTAAAGGTTTCTGATCACCACCACTCCCCTTTCCTCAGCTGCAGGAGCAAGTGCGCAATTTCTAGAGACTTTGGATTTCTAGCCCAGGTGATGGCCAGCTCCAAAAGCAAAGGACCTAAGGAGCTTCTGCTCACTGAAACCATGTGCAGCAGCACCCAGATCTCTGCTCCTCACCTTCCCCACCTCACCAAGAAGGGGCAAAGGAAGCAGGTGAAATGCAAGGGCTTTGCTCACCTCCGGTTCTGGCTGGTACAGCCGTGGGAAGGGATGGGCACACTGTTTAAGAGCACTGCAGGCCATGCTGCGGTGTTTCCTCCCGGCTCCCACACAGGAGCTCAAGTCAGCCAGAGCCGTGGCACAGCCCCTTGTGCAGAGTCCACCACAGCTGGACCCTGCAGCTCAGAGCCTGGGAAACATTCACTGCTGGCTCCGTAGTGCCAGAACAGTGCATCAGCAGCTAAAACTTCATCACTACCTGCAGTTTGTACTCAGTCACAAGAAAAGTATTTCCATGAAGAAGAAAGGCTATGAATCTGAACACACACATTCAAGCATGTGCGAGCAAACAGTTTTAATATAGGCCGTAGGGGGAGACCTGTGGACTCGGTCCATACACCCATCTGTAGGACCCACATATTGTTTTCATAGCTCTTTTTCTGCTTCAACCTCGAAAATTTTGCCGATAGATTTAAGGACCTCAGCAACAAAATGCAGCGACTGCACTCCAGCGGTAAGCTCTCTGATGGACCAGTTTGCACCCATTATTATCTCGTGGAGGTTCTGCAAGGCAAAGTCTGTGTTTTGCTTCACTGCCCCTAGGTCAGTCATTTGGCCCGCTCTTAGGTTTTCGTTCTCCACCTTGGAGCTCTCCAGCTCTTCCTGCAGAATAAAGATCTCCCGCTTCAGCTTCTCCACGTTGCTTTTTGCTTCCAGAGCCCTCTGGGTCATTAGCTGAAGACTCTGCTCGGTCTGCTGGACAAAGGACTGTAGCTTCTGGACTTCCCTCTCTTTGTCCAGGCTGGCCTTCAGCTGCCTCTCCAGCCTCTGCGCTGTGCATGCCTGGCTCTCCAAGGAGCTCTGCATGCTCCTGACCGCCCTCCTGAGCACTGCGTTCTCCTCCCTAAGCGTGTCGTAGGTTGGCTGCAGGGATGGGAACTCCCTGTCCCCGATGGCCTCCTTGTGCAGCACGTGGGGCTCCACTCCCCTGCTGCCCTCTGAGTACCCCCGATAAGGGTCACTGGCATGGGCCCATGGGGCAAAGGTATCCATCCCCAAGTCCTTGCCCACACTGCCTTGAAAAGAGCCACAGGAGCCATGCGGTGCCATACCCACAGTTGGGAGAACATGCGACTTTTGATGCACAGGAAGGTGACAGGTCCAGGGATGGTCCTCATCTTTGGCCAAGCTGCCAGGCATTTCCTTGCCTTTGTACAAAGGTGCCTGAAACTCCTCATCTTCCTCCTCAAGCTCCAGTGCATGCTTCACCAACCTCTTGGCATATATTCTGTTTTTCACTCCTTCATTTTTCACCATGTAAGACTGTCTGGGCTTTAGGGAAAATGGGACGGGTTCTCCCAGATCCTTCACCTGACAGTCATAGCTCTTGCACTGGGGTGGAGCATGTGCAGGGCAGCAGAAGTAGGTGAGGTGGTTATCATCGTTATCATCATCTTCCAAGCCTCGAGACTCTAAGCAGACCTTCTCCATTGTCCTAGAGGTGCCAAACAGCCATGACATTTTTCAGGATGCTTTGGGATGCAGCAACTGAGAGGATCCAAATTATCCTCCTGGAGCCCCGGTTATACAGGCAGGTGTCACTGACAAGCAGTGTGCCAATTTCTGCAGCCTCAGCGATGTTTGTAGGTGAAAAAGCAGTCACTGAAATCCTTCCTTTTAGATCACCAGGGTGTTTGGGAGAGAGCAGAGAGGAGGACCAACCAACTCTGTGTCTCTCTCAACCAGCTCTGCGGGGAGACCAAGAATCACCAAGGTCTGTGATCTCATCACATGACTTCGCAGCTGCGAGTTATGACCATGGGGGAGAGGAACCAATCAACAGCAAAAGCGCTTTTTTTTGCAGCGGGAGGATAAGCTGGATCCTCATGGCCGCAGAGCTGACTCCACCTCGAGGGTGCTGTTGCGGGAAAAAAGAAGGAACTCAGGAAACTATCTGAGACCTCCAGCATGCAGGGACCAGCCAGCCCCAGGCAGGCTATGTGGAGCAGAGGGGACAACCCTTCCCCACAGGCTACCGAGATATCTCCAGCAGCAAGATGAAGCCGGTGGCATTTGGTGCCAAGGCTCACCCTGGGCAGAGGCAGGAGACATCTCCAGCACTTTGGCAAGAGGCAATGCCCCGAGCTGGCCAGCCAGGGAGCCGTGGTGCTGTTGATCTGATTCATCCCCTGCTGCCAGCTGGCGTAGGGAAGCATTAGTAATACCGGGCGCCACAAATGTGGAGCGGCACGAGCCAGGAGACGAACGAAAATAAACCCACTTACCACTTCCACCCCAACACACCCCCACAGCGCGTGGTGCCGCCATGGGAAAGACAGACAGGCAAGCAAGAAGCCCTAGGCTGGGGACTGCCATTGCATTGGGCCAGCATTCGCATTAATCCCCCGGAGATGCCACACTGGGAGGTGATGTAGCCACCATCCCTCCTCAGCAGGTGGTGGCCCAGGGCCACTGCTGACATCCCTGCCTGCAGAATGGATGCCACCAGCTCGACAAGGCCAGAGGCTGTACCAGGAGCCTGAACCCTATGCAAACTCAGTTCAACCAGCTGTGAAATGGTCCTGTTGCTCTTTGGCAACCCGAAACACAAATGAGATGAAGGGGGAAGGTTCAGAGATGCTTCCAGCAAAAGGGGATGACATTCACATCCCGAACAGGCAGCCGCCTGTCACACAGATGAGGGGGAGGAAAGCCTGGTCGAGGACAGAGATGCGAATCCTGGAGCATCCCCAAGGACTGACCTTGGAGCTTGCCCTGCCTCCTGGGACACTGCCTCCTGTGGAGGGGGAAGCCAGGGAGTCAGTGGTGACTCCTGGGGAGTGGGATGAAACCACACTCGTGGGTGCAGCACAGGGCACCCTGGGAGATACTAGGCAGGAGGCTGCAGTCCGAAGAGTTTCTTCTCCATCCCCCTGCTGCCCTGTCTGCAGCATACAGGAACACTCACATATTTCACGGCCTGAGGAGGCCCCCCAGCACTCTGTGAAGCTGCTGAAATGTGGGCATTACGGCTGCTGTCTCGCAGCATTGAAGCTGTCGGCCATGTGGGTCTCCAGGGGCCAACAGCCACCTCCAGCCCTACAGATTGGGTTGCTCTTCCCAACCACTTTCCCCCTCCTGCGCCCTAGATTCATCAATGCTGGGGACACCACCGCCATGCTGCAGTCATCCCCACCTCGCTGGGTGACACCGCGCTCCAGCAGCACAAGCCATTGCACCGGTCCATGCTGCCACCCTGGCGCTGCTCTGACCCAGTGCAGACACGTGGGACTGGGCTGCTGCCACCCCTTTCAGAGAGATCTGCAGGCTAATAATGTCAGGGCACATGGTGCTGATGCAATGCCTCCATCACTCCATCCCCAGTATACGGTGCAGCGCCTCGCACATCCCAGGCTTTCTCCAGCCCCTGCCAGAGCAGATCATATATTGTCAATCCTTCCTTAAAATTGCAGTGGAAGAGTCTCATGAAACAGAACAGAAAAGTCCATGCTGAAGCACTCCCCCACTTGTCTTTTTATAACAACCATATCTGGTGCTCTGGGATGTACACCGTGAACGACGATGATGGAAAAATCCCAGGGTATTTTTACACTCTTAGTCTTTGCTTTATCTGGAGTCGTCTGGCAAATGCTTCCCTCCTGTCTGTGGTCAATACCGCAGCCGCTGGTTGCGCTGCGCTTCATGCCTTTATTCCTCTTACCGGCTGCGTAGCACCGTCTGGTTTTGAGAGCAGCATCCACAGACATATCCTGCTGGCTTGGGCATGGTGACAACACAGCAGACATCCTCTCTCCTCTTGGGGAGTCAGGGTGGGAACACCCACAGTAGAGAGGGCTTTGGCTTTTTGCAGAGCCTCGCAGACCCACGGCATTCAGTTTGTCCTCTCCATCCTCTCTGTGACTCCATGTCTTCTCCCCTTCTTCACAAATATTCCTGGGGTTCATGCCAGGGCTCATAGGGCAGCTCGGTGCTATGGGGCTGTCTTGCCACAAGAGACAATGGCTGAGCTCTCGCTCCTCCGTGTCGGCAGGGCTGGGTGCTAGGCGCTGTACGAGCGCACGCGAAGGCACAGTCACCGTGCGGGAGAGTTTTACCATATTAAAAAGGCAAGTGGCATATGGAAGGTGAGGGGAGGAAGCTGTAATCAACTCTATACCATTTTTATATACACACTTCTGCCTTTTCGTTCAATAATTATAAATAGATCAAGTAAGTGCCAACAGTCCCCATCTGCCCCGCAAGGCATGATCCGCTGACCAGTTTCTCTCTTCAGAAGAGGATTTTATTAATGTGCCTCTGCCCAGTTTATATTTTGGGGTGGAGTGAGAAGGGGGGATTTTTTTTTTTCCCCCCTGTGAAGCTCTGGAGCCTGGGGATGGGTAATACGAAAACAAAACAAAATGATTTGAAGTTAAACCATCTCAGTGTGTGACTCAGAGCTATTCATAGCTCCCTGAAGCCAGCTGCAGCAACGGAGCCAGAAGGATTCTGCCCGTATTATTATTCCAATTACCATCTGAATTAAAAGTTTGAGCAGTGATCAGCCCACATACTGACGGGAGGGGGAGAGAAGAAAGCGAAGGAGAGAAAGAGAGAGAGGAGAAAAAACAGATAAAAATGGGATCCACACAAAGGTCCCCAGGATGACAAAGTCGGGAAGAGGCACAGAAAGGTGACAGCATCATCTCCTGCCTCCTCCCACACCGCCCCGGCAATCCCTGCTCCGGCCGCACCACCCGGGCAATGGCAATGCAAGAGCAGCTGCCCACTCCCCGGGATCCCGTCTGAGAAGGGGGTTCCCCATGGCAGGGCTGGTGGGACTGGCATAGGCACTCACCCGCTCTCCTCCAGCCAAAACGGGGCTTGGGGGAAAAG